CCGACTTTGGTGAAACTACTACTACTTCACGTTTTAATATTTGTGTGGTCAAATTAACATTCATTTGTAACCTTTGATCTAAAGGTTACAAATGAATGTTAATTTGACTTTATAGCGTTTGATTTCTCATTTCGTAATAACTAAAACTTATATGTATGTATTTGATCAGATAAAGACTAACTATTATTTGGATTATACAAAAGGTATGTCTAATAGCGGTATATACGTCGAGTCATATGTATTGATAAAACATCAGTATATTTTACGAAAACAATTACATTCCATAGTATGCTCGAAATTTCGTATTATTCGGTAATATTAATATGGGTCCAACATAGAAGTAGAGTGTTTAATTTCATTGTATTAACTATAAAAAGAATCATTACGGCAGGTTTCTACTTATAAATTTCAGATTAACATATTATGTTCTGAAAAAAATAAAATACTTTTAAAAACCGTTGGCATAAAATAGATACATAATTATATAGACAGGATATTAGTGTAAACACGTCGAAAAACTGCTATATCTGCATTACAGTCAAATTTCAGAAACAATTGTAAATATTTGAATAATTAGACATTTAACAAGTGGCTTTCTATTTGAATGATGACCATATGCATTGGCGTCTATTTTATATCTTGTATTGGAATTATATATGTAATTACTACATACTTTTGTCTAAAACTCCAGTTATACATTTAATGGTACTGTTATAGGTTATAACGATGAACGTTTACGTTCGCCAGCAGAGTGATTTCAAGTAGTGATTTTGAAACGGATATTATTATTTTATATACCTACAATTTTTAATTAGAATTCGAGTTTTAACCTTCCCCAATGATGTATATAAACATTAAAAAATAAAGTAGAAGTTATACTTGAAAAACATTCGCTTTTTGTATTACTATGTTCTCTAATTACACATTTTTGTTAATGTAAATGTAGCACATTAATATCTTTAAAGATAGGTGTATAACAGGTTTGTACTAATAGAGTAACTAGATTTGACTAAAGGACTACCGTGTCGACTTGTACTTTTGTAAGGACGCCTTTATTAAAATTTCATAAAATTTTCATGCTGTCTAAAGCTTACCGCTGCGGGATTTGGTCCAGAATATTAAGTTTGGTCGGTGAATATTCACATTCATCAAAGCTTGTTAATACTGAAACCTGTTTTTGTACAAATTGAAATATGATATGAGCGCAAAATGAATCATACTATTTTGAAAATGTATACGTTTTTAATGCATGAAATCAAAGTTAGAAAAGTTTTATATACCTACTACTTAATACTCAAAATACATGAGGCACTTAGTTTTATTTCATATGCTTTTATTGAGATTTACGTTAATTAATATTGTAATAAAGATGAAGTTAATACTAATATATTATTAAATAATAAAATATATTATAATAATGTAATCTATATAGGTACTTAATGTTTTCGTCATCAATTACAGAATAGCCAGTGAATATAATAAACAGTTTTGTTATAGATAACAATAAGAGTAATGTATTGTATTTTTGAGGGAAAAGTGATTTATAAATAATTCTCATTTGAGACAAACAATAATTATATTCTAATACTAATTACAATTATTTCCAATAACATCCATACTACAGTACAGTTACCTAAACAACACATGGAAAATTTTGCAGTGGATGTACTCCAAAAGTTTTACCGTTAGTAGTTATACACAAAATAAGAGAATTTATACATTACACTTGGATCTATTTTTTTTTAAAAAAGGTAAAAAAATATACAGTCTATATAGCCCTATGCAAATGATAAACGGGGAAAGTTATGCTGGGAACAGCTCTATTTTGCTCTTGATTAAATAATTAATTGTGTAATTTAGAAAAACAGCTGTAAGTTAAATACGTTGAAGTAAAAAGTTCTACACAAACTTTGCAATGAATGTTATCCTTGGCAGGTTTACTTAATAGACAGTATTCCCGACCTTTATAAATTAAAGGAGAGAAATCTCACTTAAATACTATGACATCGCAGGATATAAATCACAATTATTATAAAATTGATGTCACGGTATTAAAAATCTTTGAATTTGAAGAGGATGAAGTTTTAAACTATTGTACTGTAGGAATGTAATTAATCTAACTATAATCTCGTTTGTATACGTTTTGAATATAATAAAAAATATAATTATTACCCAATAGAGATGACATTTTTTATTATTAGACGTTAAAACAAATTTTAAATTTTCATTGTATTTATATAGATACATATTTCATAGACTTTAAAAATAAGACATTTTGTAAAAACACTTGTAGGTATATATTTGATTACGATATTTAGAATAGTAAATTTAAATACGGAGTAACTTTATTACAAAGCTCGAATATTCATAAAAATTGTTGATTGACACCTACCAAAGAAGCAAGTGAACTGTAATCGGTTTAGTAACGCGTTGGTACACTCAAATAAGGGCCGTGACATCGACTTGTAGATTAGCCCAATAGGCTTGTGAAATTTACGTTTTAACTTTTGTTTTTGCTTTAGAAGCTATTACGATTTTTTTGTGTAACTGAAGTGCAAACAAGCTGACGGTTGAATTAATAGAAAGTGGCATCGTTGGTTTGTATACATAAACAGCATCACGGAGATTACGTCATCATAATGACCCCTTATGCTATGATATTCATGATATGATGCTATGATTAAGGCACCTTAATCCTAACTCCAAAAAAAAGTTACACATAAAACATTATTTTGTGCGACGGATATATCCATGTACAGTTTACCTTAGTAAGAGTTTCTAAGAGTGTAATCATATTGCTTCTATATTAGTCTATATAAAAGTAGGAATAGTTTTTTATTAATGCATGTAATTAGAATGATATGCATGCATGCCTCCGTATCTGGTAATTTTATTACCTATAGAGGCAGGTGTGATCTTTTTCTTTTTCTTTAACATGTATTTAACCACTGCTCTTACATAATTTTTCACCTTCTAAGGTCTGCGGCGCATCTGGTCCAGGTCCCCTCAGAACATTCGGTGCGGTCACCTATCTTTTCTTTTCTGCCATTCTCGCCTGAATTTATTTCTGAAAAGAAAAAGTGTGATAGATGGCGCTGCTGATTCCCGAGCGTAATACAGTGGCGCCCCCATTAACTTTCCTATTATAGTAGTGACAACCTACATTTAATTCGTTAATAAAACAAACTTATAAGAAAACATGGCAGCTTATATTATATTAAATTAGCCAGTCTAGATCTTTCATATTCTGTACTTATGGTATGGTCCGGTATGCATCTTTTCGTTGACTTTCAAACACAGTTTACGTAATAACTACTTATTAAGTAATCCATTGAAAATTTTTAATATACAATTTTTGGCTGAACAATATGAAATTGATGCTAATCTTGAAAATAGCTGCACAGACTCCTTACATCATTATGGATTATTTATCGTTTTATAAAGCATAGCACTGAATATTTTTTTTCTTTTTAAATATTATTAGTTGTGATTTAAGGTTACAATAAAAAACTTGTTAGATATAACGTTTTTGTTATTGACATCAAAAAAAGATTTATATAAATTTAGACTTTGCTTTACTACGTTTTTAATACTTGTATATATATATTTATAACGTACAACACGTTACGTTTTATTATTCAGAGAAATGTATAAAGTATATATATCAACCCAAAAAATGTAAAATAAGTATTTATAAAACTGAAAACTATTATCAAAAAAAATAATTGGTAAAAAATAAATAATTGGTAAAATAATAATACTATGTTTTAGAAATTTTAAATTGATGATGTGACATAGCTTGCATTGCTTGTATCGTAAGGAATTAAAATTGTTTTTAATGTTCTACTTTGCTTCTTTCTGGGAAGTTGAACTGGGTTGTTGAAGTTTCTTGAATACCATCGTTGTCGCTAGGCTAGGCTACTTATCCTATAGTGTTTACCCTGTATGAAACGAAGTTTAAATTAAGATATTGGGTGGGTACCTATATTTGATTACAAAATATAAAATAATTTAATATCAGCGGTTATAAAATAAGTGTTTGCCGCCATAATAGTATCTATAAAAAAACTAATAGAATTGTTAACTTTAACATATTAATAATAATGACCTTAGACAGTTCACACGGCGCCATCTCGTCCCAAGCTAAGCAAATTTGTGTTATGTTTATGGTACTACAGAACTTAAATATTTAAAACCATATTTTTTTTGTTAATACATCTATAATATACCCAGAAATACCCAGACCAAAACAAACAATCATACTCATGAATACACATGCGAAGAATGGAACTCCCAACCGTGGAGAGTTATGCGGTGTGCTAAACCGCTAGGCCGTTGAGTTGTAGGTTGTAACATGAACGTGAAAGAAAAAACGAAGGGAAGATGTGGCTTTTATAATTATAGTGAACATCCAAAGTTACGTAACCAAAAAGCATACGGAATTACGAAATTTCCAAGATTGTTCTTTTATATTGTTCCGTAATGGTTTGTTATGAATGAATGTACCGAAGGCATGAGGACTATAATTGAAGTAGTATTCTATTGAAGGAGTAGTAGGTAATTAAGATTAATTCTTAACTAAAGGAATAGCAATGAACATTTATTTTAACATTAACTGAACGCTGTGATTTCTTAGAATATGTATGAGAAAAACTATATTGGCTAATTGGACAAATGGCTTAACAAATTGTATACTGTGTTATAAAACTTTAAAACAATATAATGTGTAAAATTATAGGGTATATATAGGTACATATATACTATATGTATAATTTTATTATCCACTCCTGTTAGTGAATATTAAATAAATTTACCTAGTCATTTTTACCTATTATTATAATACGTATAGAAATAAAACAATAAAAAAATATTGAGCTGTAAGCGCTTGAGAAAACATTATTTTTACTTTTTATTAGCTTTTTACTGTTCAAAAGTTATAAATACAAATTTATTATAATTCCTTATGATTTATATTACATATATTTTCCTGGTTCTAGGCTAACATTAGATTCCTATTTGTATTATGTATTACATACAATTTATTAAATTTATGTATGGTGGAATTTACAGGCGCTAGCGGTGGCGGGTGGCGGGTGACGGCGCTGGCTCGACAGCGGAGCGCGGTCACGAGATGAGCGGCGCAGGCTGGCCGACCGCGCCTCCGCCGCCGCTATCCGCTGCCGAAGCCCTCTCTTCGCTATTATGGCAGCCGTATGAGTGCCGCTCGCCGCCCCTCTCGCGCTCTCGAACTGATGGTGCCCTGGCGAGCGACAGCTTCGGCGGGGGGGCGGCGGCACCATGCGCTCCCCAGTCGCCAAGCGGCGGTCGTCATGCGCGCGCGTCGTTTCGCGCGATTACTCTCCGCCACGAGATGCGGTTGCCAGTGCCGGCGCCCGCCCCGCTGCGTAAATCGGACTCGGTCTCTGTGCGCGTTCCGGGCGAGCCGAGCCGCCAAAATGTGTCAAGTGTGAACGTCAACATAGTGCAGGTGCAGGATGCCTCGTCCGGTTGTAATGTGAACAGTGCCGTGCAGACGGAGAGAGAAAGGAGTGTTGCTACCGCAGAGTGTCAGACGGAGGAGCCGACGCGGCGGCGGCGCACTCGGCGTGCGCGGGCGCCGCGAGTGCCCGAGCTGCTTGAGAGTATACCACCGCCGCCGTACAGCACGTTACCCCCTCAGGCGCACCCGGTGCCTGTAGCCTTACCGGTGCCAGTGCCGGTGCATCCGCCTCCGGGACCCATCATAGCACCACACCCGTCCACACATCGCTTCCCTTTTCAGCCGATTCCACTCAGGTGCGTTTTTGTTGTGTTTTACTAAGGTCAACGTAATTATATTATCGTTTTAAGAAGTACTACTTACAGTTTATGCACCAGTTGACGTTTAAACGGCTACGCCGTTCTGTAAGTCGGTCACACCACCATTCGCGAATTAGGAGAAAGGCGTCTCGAACTATACTTTAATAAGATGTCTATTTACCAACATTGAACAACACAAACTTGTATTGTATCTATATCTACTCATAACATACGAGTAAGTACAAGCATAAAGAAACATCTTCTAATGTGCTTGGTAGATGAGTAAGTACATGTTGTCATGGGCTATATAATCATTATTCGTTGAAATCTTTTGTGTGGTTGCTTTGTAATCATTCAAATTGTACAAAATGTAGCAGAGTTAATACGTAAGATTCCCATGCTATAATGATCCTCCTACATTTAGACAATTTAAAACATTAGTTGCTACGACTCCTTAATATACGTATTCAGATGCAAAAATTTGTGAATGATATTGGTATCTAAAAGAAATTAAAAAGTTAGTAAGTCCTGCAATACCTGAAACAATGATAATTATATTTTGAATTAACGACAAAAGAGCAAAATTTTTTATAAATATCGATAAATTCCTTACAAGTTGATCAAATTTCGAAACAATTGACAGTCTATGTGTGGTTTATCGCATTCTCCGGCTGCGGAATACTATTGCGAACTGGACGGATCTTGAATCTCCGATCTCTAAATCCACTTATTAACATGACAAACGGCGATTCGAGTGTTAAATTACGATCGGATAACACTCTCATAAAGAAGTAAATGATATCTAATAATAAATAATCACACAACGCTATCGAGTGCCAAGCTAAGTAGAGTTTATATTACGGGTACTAAACAATTGATAGAAATATCTTATTTATCTAAATACATACATAATGTACATAGAAACACCCAGACAAACAATCATACTCAAGAATATAAATGCATCATGCGAGGAATTGAACCCATTCATCGGTAGTAATGCCACAGCATTTGGTCCACCTTCATCGTCCAACCACCATCGTCACTGAAGATATATATATATTATCTATTGATTTAATATAATTTAAGAAAATCTATGATCTTAGACATGTGTACACAAGTGTGTGATATGCTATCTTTAATATGCTGGCAGATTTCTTGAAACGTCAATACGATTTAAAATTTAAAAGTACAGTAGATATCGTCACTGCATTGATTACCCAATGAATTATACTGCATTATTATGAACCAACTTGTAATATTATCTTGCTTCTATTTGCGGTCGAAATATGCAGAATGTATACGACTATATCTCAAAATTTCTGTTGAATATAAAATAACTGATAATAAATTATTAACTTCTTAACTCCTTATTTTATTGATTATTATTTTGATATTATCATTATAAAGAAATAATCATAGCTCAATCTAATTCCAAACACTTGAACTATAATAATTCGTACGGAAATTGTAATAAAGTTAATATAATTTAGATTTTTAAAGAATACTTGATTAACATTTATGAATAAAATAACAAATAATAATATTTCTGGACAATTCACACAAAGCTATTTAGTGCCAAACTAAGCAAAACTTTTGTTACGGGCACCACACAATTAATATATCTAAGACCCCAAATATTACGGCATGTACTCATATCCAGGAATTCAGGAAAAATAAGCGGGTAAGATAAAAACAGTAAGCAAGGATTTATTAGACAAACGAAGGAAGGTCGTTTATGTAGATTATTATACGAGTATATAATAGACGCGTAATATATCAGTTGTAATTGAAATTATTTTGGTCACGCTACAGTTACATCGGATGGCCTCGTTATATAAGTTGATTGTCTTACATATTTATACAGCAAGGTCGTTACCGCAATGATGTCGCTTCATAAAAATGAAAATAAAAAAATATTATAAGCAATGAAGGGTAAGAAAGCTAAATGTACTTTATTCAGTCACGCCGTAGACCTCAGAAATGGGGACGCAACGCATGATGGACGCCATTAGTGTCACAGTATAGAATAAGCGGTAAACCAAACTGAAAGATTGAAATTTGGCAGGCAGATAGATTCCTTAGAATTTTCCGCACGATTTGTTAATGACCAATGTGCAATGTCTGAACGGGCCGTGAGAAAGATTTGTTGAAAATTTTCACGGGAATGGAAGAAAACAAATAAATATTTATTTAGATGACTCACGAAAAACAGTGGGTGTATAGTCCAAATTGTTGTAATACTCAAGTCAATAGTAAGACAATAATTTTTAGTCACGTGGACGAGCACAATGTTAGGAGTTAATGAATTTTCTCCTCGACTGCTGTTGCGATATGGGTTTTTATTAGATTTAAGATTGCACGTGCATTAATCTAGTACTAGAAGAGAAACAAGGTATATAGAAATTTTTTACTTGCAACTATCTAAGTTGAACAGCCTACTAACCACTTTCCACCATGTGGTAACTAGAAACCTGTTTTAATTGCAGTGCTCACGGTTTACAATATATTGAATTTCTTACGATACGTTAATTATGTGTGGGTAGTATTCAATTTGTATTTCGCTAAGATTACTAATGAATAGTCTAGGTTACATATGAAAGTAAAATTCAATGTATTACCGGTTTATTTCGTATTTTACCTAAATGAAAGTATTTACCACTATAAATAATCTAAAATTTTAATATAAATATAGTATTATCGATCCCTAAATAACACATATAATCTAATAATTTATGAAATGATGAAATGACCTGTAATTTGTTTAAAATAGTTTTTTACTGGTAGAGGTACACTGGGATAGTTTTAATATGTGACAATTTGCGAAGATTGAAATATAACTATTAAAGTAGATAGATCTAGTAATTTATTTATTAGATCTATATATTAATTAAGAAAAAATGACGAAATAGACTCACAATATCAACTCGTACGGTTTTGTACTATAGTTAAGTATATAGCCATTTCAACTAATGTTAAATGTTGATGTACACTAAGTAATACTTCTAAGATTTATGTATCCAATGTAATATCAAACTTAACATTATATTTTATGAAAGTATCTATTATTAAAAAATTAAATAAATTAATAAATGTCAGATTAATTTTATATATTAAAGTTATTGGTACTTCTAAAATTAATATACTATGTATATTATAATCCACTGCCAGAACAGACAAATCCAAAGCAATTCTTTCTACCGATCTACACAAAGATACAGAGTTAATAGTAGTAAATTGAATTGTTTTACATTCAAAACAATGACTAAAACGTTATTATTCTGATGATTGACATTAGCTGTCAAGATCAGGCCGCTACTGCTAGGATTATCGGTAATATGTTCAAACTTACTTTATTCAAAGAATATTTATGTTAAACCAAAATTTTAAGTTGTTGGCAAAATAGCGTTGAAATTAAGACTAAGTAATGTAATGCCATTTTCTAAAGAAACTATCAATATTTATTAATGATATAATTTGGAGCTGATTGAGGATAGAATTTAGGTGAACAATATTCTATTTGCATGTATTTGCGTAGGATTATTTAACTAGTTTATATGATTGGAATAGCAAACAGTTAACGGCACACATGATGTTATGTGTTGACCCATCGACTAAGTACGATCAACAATAGGAATAAAACAAAACATATTGTGACTTTATATTCCAAAGTTACACTTATACACGATCATGTTCGACGTCTAACATAGTGAGTTTTTGATATACTGAAGTTAGTTTCACATTTGACATTATATGGCGCAAGAAGCATTCACTGTTGAGCATTAAACAGTGGTGTCCTCTAAAGGTGGTTTGTCGGTCAATATCACTGGTTTGCGAAATAAACGTACGCGCACCCACAGTGAGAACTATGCCTCTGACGTTGTCGCATCCGTGTACATTGTGCTAACGCTCTAGTGTTCTACTAAGATTAAATGGACAAACCAGTAATGTGTCTTTATAATAGTTTTCTAAACTATCACAATAAATGTTGTTCTATCTTCTTTCAGTCTCTCTTCAATCTCAATAATATATTTATAACTAAAATATTTTTAAGTGATCGTTGTCAATTAGGATGCAGCTAAAATATGTTTTGGTAAACAATCACCACCATCCGTTATTATGCTAAAGAATTATTATTATTAGATATATTTTATTGGCGCTAGGAAATATTACATAAACAACCATGTCTAGGCCGGTTTTATAGTAAGAATAACATTGAAATTTGGCGACTTTCACTGTTTTATTGCTACAGTACTCGTATCTATAGATCGCAGAATGAGTTTCGAAGTAATGAATGCGAAATAAAAGGTATGTATATGTATAGTACTATAGTAACATACAAGAGAAGTAGTTTTTTAGGTATTTACGTTTTATTTAACTTAATTTTTTCATCAATATAAATGTATTTATGAAAAAATTTAGTTATAAAAATGTAGAGACGTGAAACTTTGCATACATAAAATGGTTTTTATATTGTTTTATAGTGTCAATATAATACAATTGACTATTTCATTTAAAATACGCTTATGGACGGGAAATGCTACGTGTATATCCGGGGAATTAGTCTCTACTTTGAATAGTATATTTTGATGAGAGATAATCACTGCCGTTAATTATAAAGAGCAGTCATTCTGATCTATTCCAAGATTCCACACTTCCTTGAATGTTGCTTACAAATATACCTGCACCTCAATCGTTGTTGGCGTAGTGCCAACATCCTAATGGCTCGGGACTAGCGCCAAAGCCGCCAGAAAATCTTCTATATTGGAAACTAAACTCGTATCTGGAAGTGGATTGACTTAGACTTCGCTTCGCTTTGAACGTTTCAATAAAATTTGTTTGCATATTACCTTAAGTGTATTATTATTAGCTTTTTATTTGTAATTACTTTTTTAAATAGCTCTTATACTACTACCTAGTTCAAGAGTTATGTTTCATTGACTTTTCTATTTCTGATTTCTAGTGCTTCCTTAAGTATTTGATATTTGAATTGAAATTTT